CTGGGAGGCAGCAGTGATGGCTCAACTAACTGGACTCCTGCAACCCACACAGGAGACTGGGGTTGAGTTTCTGCCTGCAGACTTTAGCCCCAGACATGGCTGGAGTCCCTGGGGGCATTGGGAGAGTGAATCAGTGGACAGGAGATCTAGGTCTCTCACATGAAAAAGTAAAACACTTTCAAAAGGCAAAAATAAGCCATCAGGAAGAAGTCTTCGAAGACGGAAGAACCCCAGTTGGGAGGCAAATGCTCTCTCCAAGCTCATGGAATCTCTGAACCCTACAGTTTACACAGAGATAACAACTAGCCGGGGCTGGCTTTTGGCACAGCAGCTTAGGTCGCTGTATGCAGTGTCAGCATCCCATATCACAGCACTGGTTCAAGTCCCGGCGGCTCCACTCCTGATTCAGCTCCTTGCTCATGCACCCGGAAAAGCAGTCCAAGATGGCCCAAGCACTTGGCCCCCCACCACCCATGGAGCTCTTGGCTCCTGGCTTTGGCCTGACCCAGCCCTGAGGGCCAAGGCTATCGGGGGGGTGAACCAGAGGATGGAAGATCTTTCTCTGCCTCTCCCTCTCCTACTTACCTTTCAAATAAATAAATAAATCTGTAAAACAAACGAAACCTTATGAATTAAAAGCCATGTAACTCTACAGAATATCTGATAAAGATTGGCATTTCGTGGAAGGCAGTTCCCTGTTCTTATTCACTAGGGATCGGTTTTCTTTTTGGCTCATGTTCTTCAGCCAGTGCCCTCATTCTCCACAGCACTCTGTTCGCACAAATGGCAGCTTACGAAGCATAAGGGAACGTCAAAAATCTTATGGAAAATTGTAATTCAATAGAAGTTTCTTTTGGTGCAAATAATTTTTGGAATTCACACGTATAAGAAGTCGTCAAAAGTTCATAGATAATAAACACACACAAAAAAAAACAAAAACCAAGCATGGATTTCAAACCTTTTTGCACCAAAACTAGCTAATCTTTCAGTTCCATTTCCCATGACTTCTGGAAGTGCCCTGTTTCTGTGAGTCGGACGGAGCACTAGGACAGAGGACGCCCTGGCTGGCACCCCGAGGTGGGGGCTGAGGCTAACGTGTCAGAAGGAACACCTCATTCCTTCGACTACAAAATCAGAGGGATGGGGGCCGGCGCTGGGGCGTATCGGGTAAAGCCGCCACCTGCCACGCCGGCATCCCATATGGGCACTGGTTCGAGACGTGGCTGCTCCCTGCTAATGCGCCTGGGAAAGCAGTGGAAGACGGCCCAAGCAGTGGAAGATGCACCCACATGGGAGACCTGGGAGAAGCTCCTGGCTCCTGGCTTTGGATCAGCTCAGCTCTGGCCATTGAGGTCATCTGGGGAGTGAACCAGCGGATGGAAGACCTCTCTCTCTAACTCTCCTTCTCTCTCTGTGTAACTCTTCCAAGTAAATAAATAAATCTTAAAAAAAAAAGACTTCTGTTTTGACCTCTCTTGGGTCAAGCATAACTGGCCTACTTAGAATATTTCCTTTTCTGCCAAGTTCTCAAAGGGCACAAATTATGTTATCTCATAGTTAGGCAGCAAACAAGATTTCAATACAATATCATGACTAGGAGAGATTGGGCCTCCAAGGCCTATGACCCCTCCCTCTCTCTCTCTCTCTTTCTCTCTCTCTCTCTCACACACACACACACCCTGACCTCTTCTGATGAGCTTAACTGATACCTGCTCACAGGCACAGCCTGGTGTAGAGGGGAGAAATCGCAGCACACGAGAAGAGTTTGTGCTGCTCACGTTAGTTTTCCTGGAGCCAGGGACAAGCTTTAGGGAAGGATGACTTAAAGAGAAAGTCAGAGGCCTCTGGAACCTGCTGTCTCCGCGGATCAGCTCCGGCTCTGGTAGATGTTTCTACTCCAGCTACACACTCAGACACCGAGTCCCACCCCAGGCCGCTCCTTCCGGCTCTGCCCCCGCTGTGGCTGGCGGCCTAGGCCAGGTGATGTCCTCACCTCACTTCCTTCCTGAGTCTCACACCTGGGTTTCCTGCCTGGTCTCTACTCCGGTCAACTTCCCGCATTGCTACCAAAACCGCAAATCAGGCCCAGTTACCCACCTCCCCCCCATAAGAACCGTCCCGCCCTTCCTCGGTGCCTACAGAACGGCAACCTCTCCTGCTGGCCGCCGTATCCCCAGCGCCTGCTCGGGGCCTGCCCCACGGTCGTGCCCAGTTGAGTGAGGACTGCACCCATGCTGCCGTCCACGGCCAGGCTCCTGCCCCCTCCCCAGCCACGTCCGCTGTTTCCTTGGAGCTGTGTTCTCCTATGAGCAGCACCCCCAGATCCAACCCGCGCCCTCCTGCCTTCCAGTCTCTGCACTGGCTGTTCACGGGGCTTAGAAAGTCGCACCTGCTGAGGACAGCAGCCCAGCTTCTCTCAGCAAATCTCTCTGGAAAACTGCTTCCTGACTCACCTGAGTACCTCTAGGACCAGAGCTCTCCCAGAACAGCCCCTGGTCTCTGACCAGGCCACAAACTCCTCATTTTCTCAAGAATCAAAGACACTCCAGGCTGGGCTGGGATCAGACAGATCTGGATTCAAACCGAGGGGGCTCCAAGTTCACGAGGGATTGAGACAGCAGGTACCTGGCTTAGGAGTTGGACTGGGCTCTGCATGGTGGTCTTGCTATGATTTCATTCTCAGGGGGCCGGTGGTGTGACTCAGCGGGTTAACACCTAGCCTGAAGCGCCAGCATCCCATATGGGCGCTGGTTCTAGTTCTGGCTGCTCCTCTTCCAATCCAGCTTTCTGCTATGGCCTGGGAAAGCAGTGGAAGATGGCCCAAGTCCTTAGGCCCCTGCACCCGCGTGGGAGACCTGGAAGAAGCTCCTGACCCCTGGCTTTGGATCAGTGCAGTTCCGGCCATTGTGGCCAACTGGGGAGCGAAGCAGAGGATGGAAGACCTCTCTCTCTCTCTCTCTCTGCCTCTTCTCTGTGTAACTTTGACTTTCAAATAAATAAATCTTAAAAAAAATGATTTCATTCGCAGTCACAGGTAAGACAGGTGTTTGAGGGCTAGCCTGGGAACCTAAAGGTTGATGTATACATATAACACAATAAAGTTGAAATTAAAAAAAAAATTATCCATTGTTTCTGTGGGGAAACAAGTTTTCTACTCACAAATGGGAAACGACATGCTTCTGTAAAAATAAATTCTTGGCCCAAAGTTACTGACCTCTGACCTGAGAGCCATGCTTTCCTTTTTCTTAAAGCAATAGACCAGTTTTAATGGACGCTTAGGTTAGCTACTCTGATGGCCCACGCCCCTGAGATGTTCAACGTGCACAGTAAACAAGACAGCACATGACCCACTGAGGGTCTGGTCAATCCACAGCCCCGGTGACCAGGAAGGTAACTTACGAGGTTCAAAGGTTGTACCCTTTCTGCATCCCTCCCCCCTCCCACACACGGCTGGCAGAGAACATGACAAATCTGGAATATGATGGGGGAAGACAGAAGTGATGAAAACCAAAGGCGGCCCAGGGTTACTGTGCACATCTTCAAGTGTAATATAGTTCTTCCACTACTTTAAAATACCACTGCAGTGAGATGTCTCTAAATATTTTAAGGCCCGGGTGCTGTAAGATTTCGCCCACAAACGTTACCACATTTTCCATTTAATTACTGATCAATGTACTGGCTGGGAAGACTCACATAACCAGCACAATCTGTGAGATGAGAGCAAGCAGGCCTGAGCCAGCCACCTCTGGGCTTTCTAAAATCACTCTTGGGTAAAAGACGCCGGATCACTCGACCAGAACTCCGCTATGTGTTGTGGTTAATCCAGAAACCACGCAGGATGCAGCCCCGGCCCTGGGAACCTTTGAACGCGGCATCTCGCAGATTTTGTTGTCATTTTACATTTCAGTAACATTTCTTTTTGCTCTGTTTATCGCACTTTCCAAAATATGAAAACGCTCTTTTTATTTTAATTTTGACTCCATGTGAAAAGCCAACGCTGGTTCTATTACTTCAAACTCTGCCTTTATTGGCAACAGTTGTGCCGTGCTGTCGCGAAGAATTTTAAAACCAAAGTGCCAAGGCTGGAGAGGAGGTGCATCTGTTTCACTCTGCAGCTCGTTCGACTGTTTTTCTTTCTCAGAATATGAATTCACAACTATCCTAGAACTGAAGACTAAAGAAAAAACACATGTTGGTAAATCATTTCTGCATTTTTTTTCATTCGTGGGAGACTGCCTCCCTCAGCTGTCTGCCAGTAAGGAATAAAGGGAGTTGGAGAAAAGTTTATTTAACTTGGCTTTCTTAATCCAACAAAATACAGAAATCAAGTAAGGGACAGGCAGAAAAAAATCTGTTCCTTTGAAGTCAATAAGAATCCATCTCCTTAATCCCTTTTTTATGCCACGCAGTGGTGATTTTTCTCCACTGCTCACTGAGAGCCTTGATTGAGCTAATACGTCTTGCTTAGTTATCCTTCTCCTGCGAGCCTTCCTACGGAAAAATCTTCCCCCTTGACAAGTGTCATCCTTGTACTCGCACAGCCGTGGACCTGGCTATAAACGCTTTCTAGTTAATCCTGATAGAGATTTGAAAACCCGGGCTTTTAATTACTCTGTGTTTTGGAAGGGTAAAAACAGCAGTAGGTAGCAAGCACACAGACATGATCCGCGCTACAGTGGCTCAAATTTTCCATCTTTCCTGGGCCATCTCCATTCAGCCACCCACTGTTGCCTCTCTGTCAATCATGGACAAAAACCCAGAACTCCAACTGAATACTTTAGTTTCCACACCCTAACCTATCTGCTAATGGACTATGAATCATCATATATATATATATGCAAATATACCCATGTCTGAAGATCTCATAATTTGTAAGGAAGAGCATTATAGTGGCAGAAAAAAAAAAAAAGCAAAACACATGCACTGACTTCAAGACACTCCAAGTCTAACCCCATGGAGTCGTCTTTGGTCGCAGACAGAATGAGAAAAGGATTTCTTACCTAAACTAAAGAGCACCAAGAATTTCAGACACACAAATTCCCGTTGATCAAACTGGAGAGAGCGAAGTTTTACCACCAACTCCTGGGCATGACTCATGAGGTTGTTGAGCGTGGCGCCTGCTTGTGCTGCTATTATGGAGTGGTCCACCTGCAACACAGAATCGCAGTTTTAAGGAGGGTAGAACCAGACACATAAGTTGCACTTGATGTTACTAAGAATTGTGGGTACAGCCTCGCTGCTGCACAGACTTCTGGCTGAGGTGACTCTCCCCACGGAAGTAGCTTGATACATGTGTTATCATCTAATGCACCAGTTATCCTGATAGAGATAATCATTTTATAAGCTTAACAGGAAACAAATTTGACTATAGAAATTTTTTAAGTATGCAAACATCATCATTTTTTGCTATTAGGAAATTACATGATTGCTTAAGATAAATAGGAAGAATCGTGAAAAAGTTCATAGAAAATGCACCCTGTAAAAGAATTATGCATGGATTCCAACTTTTTTTGCATCAAATTTTCTAACTGCCCTTTTCCCATGAACTTGTAAAAATGCCCTCACATGTTCAAAACATGTAGTTCACATGCAGTGAATTCAGAACAGCATTCCACGTGGACACCATGACATACCAGATGAAGAAAATAAAGGCAGAGACACATCCCTAGTCGCTTCATGAAACCATATTTAATCACGGTCCAAGATTGCATGCTTGGGGCCAGCGTCGTCGTGTGGCGGGTTGAGCCACTGCCTGCGACCGAGCACCGGTTCGAGCCCTGGCTGCTCCATTTCCAATCCAGCTCCCTGCTGGTATTCCTAGCAAGGTGGCAGAAGATGGCCCAAGTCCTTGAACCCTTGAACCCTTGTGGGAGACCTCAAAGAGGCTCCTGGCTCCAGCCCAGCCCCAACCACTGCAGCTATTTAGAGAGTGGACCAGTAAACAGAGCAGGATCTAAGTCTGCCTTTCAAGTAAATAAACGAATCTTTAAACAAAAACTAAGACTACAAGCTTGTGGAGGCAAGAGTCACCTCGGAGGTATTCCTTAGCGTGTTGCCTCTTAAAAAGCTATGCCGTAAAACTGCTCTTTTTCAAATAATTGTGTCAAATTAATAGACTTCTCTCTGAAGACAGCAGTGACTTTATTGGTAACAAGACTAAGGCTTCCTTTCCTTTTCATTAATAAAAGGAAGGGGGTGCACTGGTCCTACACAGGTCCATTTCCAGTAGGAAGTTAAGATGTCGGGCAGCCGTCAGGGATAGCACCGACGTTGCTGTGGCGACAACAGCAAATCGGGAAAGCCCAGTGGGTACCTGACGCTCTCATCCCTTTTTCCTGGAGAGCTCTCAGGCAACCAGATACTCTTTTAGGGGCATTTAATATTTGCAGCAGCAGCAAATTTGTCTGGGAGGCAAGTCCTCATCTGCCACTCACCCAGAGCAGACTCTATTAAATTTTTATATTTATTGACATTTCATTACCATAATTGACTGCACTTGCTTCTCCAAGAGACGGCACAGGGCTGCCTCCTACGCCGGAGAACTGGTCCCTCGAGTGGAATTTGCAATTAAAAACAAGGCAGAATAGATTTTTTTTATTGTGTAAATATGATGAGTTGAATTTTCAGCTTTAACTAGAGAATACTTGGGTGTACAGAAACCTTTTTCAAGAGTGAGAAAAATTATGAGTCAGTGGAAAGTCGACCCCCAAAGGTGTCAATCAGCTTAGAGAGAGTCAACTATGCATGAAAAAGCCACCGGGCAAGTGCTGGTGCCAAGCTCTGTGCTGGCCCCTGCGCACTGAAGCTAACCCTGAGGTGTTCCACAGCGCGGGCGAGAAACGGTTGGTGCACGGGTCCTGGAACCCTGAGCTGGGAGAAGACAGGGCCAGCTATGGAGCTCTGCCAAGCACAGGGAGAGCACAGCCCAGCGCACAAAGGGAGGGCCCTGCTAGTGTGTTGCCAGTTCTCACAGGGGAACTTGATGTCATGTGACAGGTCCCTGTCAAAAGGCAGGTGCATCCAAAATCCTACATGCGGACCTGCATCGTGGTGCAAGCAGGTTAGTAACGCCCTGCCTGCAGTGCCGGCATCCTACATGAGAGCTGGTACAGAGTGTTGGCTGATTCACTTTTTATTTATTTATTTTGAAAGTCACAGTTACAGAGAGGGGGATCTTTGTATCTGCTGGTTCACTACCCAGATGGCCCCAATGGCCAGGGCTTGGTCACACTGAAGCCAGGAGCTTCTTCTGGGTCTCCCATGTGGGTGCGGGGGTCCAGATACTTGGGCCATCTTCTGTTGTTTTCCAGGCCATTAGTAGGGAGCCAGGTCAGAAGCGGAGCAGCCGGGACATGAACCAGCACCCAGGTGGGATGCCAGCACTACAGGCGGCGGCTTTACCTGCTGTGCCACAGCCAAGGCCCCTGTTCCTCTTCCAATCCAGCTCCCTGCTAAGTGCCTGAGAAAACTGCAGAAGATGGTCCACGTACTTGGGCTCCTGTACCCACATGGGAGACCGGGATGGAGTTCCAGGCTGCTGGTTTCAGCCTGGCCTTTGCAGTCACTTGCAGAGTGAACCAGCCCATGAAAGACCTCTCCATCTTAATGGATCTCCCCCTGCCACCACAACTACACACCCCACCACCACCCCTGTAGCTCTGCCTTTCAAATAAATAGAGAGAATATTATATCAAATTACTTTCAGTCTATATGGATGAGGTATATGTGAAACAAATCTATTTCATGTTCAGAATTGGGTCCCACCCCCAATATATCTCATATGTACTTCTGGTACCCTGCATTTTGGATAAGAGATATGCAACCTGTAATGTCAACTCAACGGAGACAAACAGACCAGCAGGAAGGCCTGGTGGGGCAGCAGTGGTGCAAGAGCCTGGACAAGACAAAGCTGGGCCAATGTTGCCACCCCTTCCACCCAAAGGGCCTTCGGCAAGCCAGAGAACAGCTCTGCCCACTGGCGTGCTGGTCTTCAGCATGGCGGTTAAGCAGGGTGAGGGGAACGAGGCGCCTCCTCCTGCGACTGTCAAGAAACAATCAAGTTGGGACAATGCTTGAACCAGCTGAATGCGCTGTGGCTATAGCTTAGGACACATAATTACCCCCTTTACAAGCCATCATTATTGGAGAGGCAGAGGAGACGGCTCCTGGTCACTGCCTCCCACCCAGAAGCCTGCAGCACTCAGGGGAGGGGAGTGGCAGGTTGAAACCAGGAGCCAGGAACTCCATCCAGGTCTCCCATGTGGGTGGCAGGGACCCCACTACTTGAGCCATCCCCTCCGCCTCCCATGGCTTGCATTAGCAGGGGGCTGGAGCCAGGAGTGGGATCCAGGCACTCGGACGTGGGATGCTGGAAGACCAAACGCCTGCCCCTATAGTACATTTTAAGAGAGGCCTTAAATTAGGTAGACCACATTCTAAGTAAAGCAAAAACATGCTATTCATTTTTTTATAAGATGGGATTAATGAAACTTTGATGTGTACGTCATTGTCACAGGTCTCTAATTACAAGTTCAAATACTGGAAGTTCCACTTGAAGATATAGTACACTATGCCTGAAGGAACCTAAATTGTTTCCTAGGAGTATATATTTAGTGAGACGGACCTCAGGAAATCAATTGGCATACCAACAACTTTATAGCTACACATTTATTTACATGCTAATTTGAAAGCTCAAACATGCTTATTAAATGGGGGCTCCGATAACATTTCTTTCAAGGATAATTTATCAAATTGCACAGCTCTGAAGGAGGCTGTGTGATTTATTCCTGAGGCAGCACACAGATCTGCAACTTCTATTTTATGACAAACATAATTATATTTTCATTGTTGAATGCAGGGCTTGAGCTCATTTCAGGAGCAGCTGGCCTTGTCTTTTATGTACTTAGTAAAATGAATTTATCACTCTCTTACGTGTAATCTTCGTGCCATTAAATTCGAGGGAAATATTGAAGAAATACTCCATGCCAGTGTCCCCTTTGGATAAATTTCACTCATCTTGAAGGTAGAAACAGTTTTAGCTAAATTGCTTTTAGTTCTAATTGCCAGAATTTTGATGACTTGTCTTTTGTAAGGTGCCTGTCATTTTAATACGATACACAATCATGGAAAATAATAAGTTGTTGGTAGACTTCTCCCTCAGGACGATGTTACAGTGGCTGTTAATTAGCCACAAAATGCAAATAGTAAAACCCAACCCCCTGCAAAGTACTTGATTGTTATTTCATATACAGGTATATGTGTATATGCACGTGTGTGTGTGTGTGTGTGTGTTTTAAAAACACCTGACAGAAAAAACGGTTGTCATAAATGTAAGATGCTAAAAACAGAACTGATTTGACAATGCCTAATGTCACTGATTATCTTTTCCATTCTGCTTAACAACGTTATTTAAAGGGTATTTACATAGATGCCTGATCAAAATACAGTAACACATCATTAGAACCCAATAGTTCACTTTAGATTTCAGGGAATCCTCATTTCCATGCTAGATCGTGGTGTCCCAGAAAGCTCCCTCCAGGGCCACAGGGTTCAGCCACTCTGGCTCGGACGGAATGAACCAGGACGGGACTCGGGGCTTCTTCCCAAGCACTACTGGGCTTGAGTGCAGAGTTGGGGTCTTGGACCTAACGTTCCTCTTTCTCCAAGTGCCAAGTAGCATGACCTGGATATCCCCTCCCTCTGAAAAATTCAGTCTGGGCATTTCCTTCCTCTGTTCTGTCCCGGTGCCCTCCTCCTATCAGCGAATCGGATTCAGTAGGAACAATCTAGAAGACGGGGGCCTTGCATCCCTTGCATGTGAACACACAAAACAACTTTAAGGTGGCACCGAGTTCCTCCTCTCTGGGCGTCCCTTGGTGTCTGGAATTTGCCCTAACACCGTGCACCGAGGCACGCGTCATCTCACTGTTTGCTAATCCTCATTCAGGATACATGTTTTCATCTGTCCTGGCAGTAAGCACCTTTGGGCATGTAAGAAAACGAGAGGTGAACCTGGACGCTGTCCGGGGAGTGCCTGGAGAGCACACCCTCTCCCAGGCGACACCGGAACAGCTGCCGAGTGCGGTGGGCGTTTATGCAGCACGTCCTTGTCGCTGCTCCTCGGACGTTCAGCACCCGTGGTCGCCTCCACGTGCAAAGGACGGAAAGCATCTTCCCTCCAGGAGAAGGAGGCTCCGTCAAGCCATGTTGCCTGGCAACACCCATCCATCCCATTCCGATAGGCCACCTCCTCCCAGCAGCCTTCCCGTGCCTGCTCTCGGAGCCTGGGTCACAGGGCTCACGTGGGAAAGTGCAGAGTGCGAGGCCACGCGCGCAGGGCCGAGCGGGCCGACATTAGCCTGATCTCCGGTGACCACGGCGCTGGGCGCAAACGTCCCCTCTCACCCTCCCTCCTTTGGCTTCTGCTCACGTTTCAGGCCATCGGAAGTACGTTTTGGCTGAATGAAAAAGCGTATTCCTTGTCTACAGGTCAGAATCATCCCGCTGTCTGCAGGGGAATTTCGCCAGCTTTCCTGGAATAACGTCACTTAATTGCTCCCCCCATATCAAATATCACGCCCTTGATAAGATGTCCCACAGGAAGACGGCTATCCCTGTCTTACAGTTCACTCTCCACACAAGTCCATGGCAGTGGGTCAAGCGTAAATGATCTCATGCAGAAAAACAGGAGGAAAATCCCTTACTTAGGAGATTTGTTTTTCCAAAAATCAGTACTCAACGAAAACAACACCAAAAGGCCATAAGGAACGGTACGCATGCAGCTCCTTAGGAGAGAAGTGAATTTGTTTTGCTTGGAAGATCCACGGAGGCTGTCACAGACCTGAAAGGACAATTCACAGCCTTGGGGAGGGTGAGCTTGTAGCACCCCAGAGTTACCCAACAAAGCAGCATGGCTCAAGGTGAAGAACAGGCGCTCAGGCCCCGGCCAGCCCAGGCTGAACGTCCGTCGGCTCTACCACCGCTCGCCAAGTGTTGTTCCGAGCGCCAATCAAGCCCTTCCTCTCTTTGCTTCAGTCCCCCGACCGCACAAGATGGCAAGGATGGTGCTTTCTTCACAGAGGTGCTGGCTCCACAAACCCCAGCCTGTGTTGGTGGGCTCTTGGCGACTTCTGACTTCTATGTCATCACATCACACAACTATTTCCCATAAAGCCTGTGTCTCGGCTGGCTCTCACTGCCCTTCCGCACTGCGCACACGACGCTGAAGCTACAGGGACATGCTCAAGATGTCACAGGCTGTTCTCAGAGATGCATGTGTGTGTTACACACACACACACACACACACAATCCCATGTCCACACCACAGAGTGAGCAGTCTGCACCAATGAAAATATATCCAATCTACAGCCCAACTGTTATAAAACTGTGAACAAGACAAAGAAATTCTCAATTCTTTGCTTTCTTCGTTACTTCCATATATTGTCCTCTTTTCTCCAGAATATGGGTTTATGCTTTTACTTAAACATACTCCTTTCCTTCTATATGATTGTTTTACCATCTTCCTAATTTGTTACTATCATTCTTGAATTTTTAATAAAAATCTACTCTGGGACTGGTCCTGTGGTATAGCAGGTAAAGCTGCCACCTGCAGTGCCAGCATCCCATATCGGCACCGGTTCGAGTCCTGGCTGCTCCACTTCCCATCCAGCTCTCTGCTATGGCCTGGGGAAGCAGAGAAAATGGCCCAAATGCTTGGGCCCCTGCACCCACGTGGGAGACCCGGAAGAAGCTCCTGGCTCCTGGCTCTGGATGGGCACAGCTCCAACCGTTGCGGCCTGTTGGGGAGTGAACCAGCAGATGGAAGACTCTCTCTCTCTGTCTGCCTCTCCTCTTTCTATGTAGTTCTGACTTTCAAATAAATAAACAAAATCTTTTAAAAAAAATTCTGAAAATGTCTTGGATGTTTAAAAAAAATAATCTATTCTCTCCATGCTTGCAAACAAGGAAGTATTTACCACTGTCAAGAAAATTATACTTAAAATGTTCACTGGGGGCCAGCGCCATGGCACAGGTTAATCCTCTGCCTGCGGCGCCGGCATCCCATATGGCCGCAGTTCTAGTCCCAGCTGTTCTTCTTCCCATCCAGCTCTCTGCTATGGCCTGGGAAAGCAGTAGACAATGGCTCAAGTCACTGGGCCCTGCACCCACATGGGAGACCAGAGGAAGCTCCTGGCTCCTGGCTTCAGATCAGCGCAGCCCCAGCCGTTGCAGCCATTTGGGGAGTGAACCAGCGGACGGAAGACCTTTCTCTCTGTCTCTACCTCTCATTGTCTGTAACTCTAACTCTCAAATAAATAAAACCTCAAAAAAAAAAAAAAGTTCACTCATCTCCCTGGGCCACAGGGTAGGAAGCGATCGACAACAGTAAAAGGATGATTTGTCATCGGAAAACCATTTTCGGTATCCAAGTCCCATGAGGGTTGGAAGGTGTTAAAAGGGTATGGATCAGATGTGGGAATGTGGGAGGGATGATCACTCTGGGTCTTGAGTCCTAGTTGGCTTGTTTGAGATAATTGCTTATCTCAAAATTAATTAGTGAGTTCAGTTAGGAATCAGGACAACCTAATATTTATATTGTACATAAATCAGAGCAGGTGGTGGCGGGTCATTAGGAACGTTCATGTCTGTGACTCTACATTCCGATCTCTGCCCCGCCCTGCTAGAGAGAGGTCACGTGCTTCAGCAAAGTCTCCTTTGTAGCACTTTAGTTTCCATCCTTTGAAGCTGCAGGAAGCCGGGAGGAATGCCGAAAATGCTTTGTGTAGCCTATTCTACAAAAGAAAATGATCTCTTCCCTAACGCCATAAATGAGACGATCTGATTGTATTGCTATGTTTACATAATGATGCTGACATATTATAACAGTAGGCTATTCACTTGGAATGGATGGGAAGCACACACACAGGCAGGGGCTTTGGCTGTCACACATGTGGCGGGGGAAGGGGCGTTGGTTGGGGGGTGCAGCTGGATGAAGCTAGGGTGCAGGAGGTGTCAGGAAGTCTCTAGCAGGGAGTCCCTCACTCAGCTCCGATGGCAAAACAGAAGTACAAAGCAGCAATAATTGACACTAAAGACCATGATGCCATTTATTCCTTGACTGTTCTAGGTTTTGAACATCAGAGAGGAAAGAGAACGCAGGATCTCTACTTTTTAAATGGTAATTATCTTTACCCAGGGGCAGCACTTGAGGCAAAGTGAGACAGGGCAGGAATGGCAGTGTTTGGAGAAAGAACACACAAACCCCTCTCATTCCTTAAACTCGGAAGCAAATGAAATCAAATTAATTTGTGGGCAGAGTCTTGGACTTCTTACGCAATGCCTAGCAGGGTGGAGGCAAGGTTAGGTGGGAGATAGGCACAGCGATTAGACTCCGCGAATGGGTACATTTCCTTCAAAGACTTGAGTCACAGGATGAAAATGCTAAACAAAAATTTGAAAGCACAGGAAGCCAAAGCTACTGAGATTTTCTTCGCTCGTCGAGAAAGCTTCTCTCCCAAGAGGTGCAGAAAGTAGGGACCAGAGAGTGGTGAAATGGTCGAATTGATCCAATTTGCAGGAACTCTGAAATGCTGCCTGCCTTAATTTGGTTGGGGAAATGTGATTTATTAATGATACAGCAAATGGTGTGCGGGCAGCCTTTCCTCTTTCAGATATGCAGTGCCGCGGTTTCACAGCACATAAACATTTATGGCTGGAAGTAAAAGATCACGGTGCCCGAGGACCGAAGTCACAGCTGCTGAGCAGCACAGAGGTGCCCTGAGGAGGGACGCCCGACGCACCCACGGAGCGCACCTGCTCCCTGCGTTTAGGGTAGCCACCCCCAGATGTAGCACTGAGCCTGAGAAAAGTGAGTGACTTGCCCTGATCCTGTAAAATCCGAATTAGGAGCATGAAGGAGGCTCTCCTTCTCTCGCTCCCCCGCCTCGGTAGCCACAAGGCTGTCTCTGCTGCCTGGAGTCTTCGAACACCCGTCACCTTCCCGGGAAGGACAATGCCAGCATTCCCTTCACCCTGCAGCCCACAGGACCACGCGGCCATACACACCCATGGAGGTGAGCCGTCTCCCCTTCGACCACTGACTCCTTTTCTCCAATAACACCTTGCCCTCTACCGCAAAGTTTTATGTCTTAGGATTATGTCTACTCCCAGTTTCTCCCTGTTTCTACATTAAGTCCCATGAAGGCAGGAGCCCTAGAATAGGGACAAGCACATAGTGGGATGTTTACTAAATGCTCGCTCACTCAACAAGCATCTATTGAGAACTAAATTATTCGCAGCCAGTCACTGCCTTTCAAAGCACAAGAGTGCTTCTGATCTGGTTAAATCCCTGCCGCTCTGAACACGCTGAATAAAAAGACACTTCTTCACCATCGCCACACTCACTTGTTGCCCAGTAACCAGGTAGATGGATCCTTCCTTCCCGTGCACCACCTGCCGGTAAATGTGGTCCAGGATTAGGAGCTCACTCCAACAGTTCTGAAGCAGCTTCATTTGGTCGTCCACCTGGGAAAACAGAAGAAAGGAAACTGACATTGCTGTTCCTGATCTTTGGTTTCTGTATCCTTTTCTACACAGGAGAATTAAATCCAAGAGGGGAAGTTGATACTAACGCAGCAAAGGCGCTTGTTCACCGGTTTCATCACTCCTGACAACCATCCTCGTCTGGACAGATGCTTTTCAGGCCCCAGAGAAATACTTAAGCAAAATATTTATCACCAACAGCCAGGAGGAAAAGGGACTCCATTCGGTCAGTCTGTGCAGCACTAACAGAGCGGCTGGAGCCTGGTTGGGGGAGGTATGGGCTCCTAGACCTGGACTTCTTTGGAAGGACCACAAACAGTGCATGCTTCTGCATGTAAAACATAACACAGGGGCCTGAAGGAGTACGGGTGAGTGGATATCAGCAGCTGACAAACTGAGAGGATTCATTTATGTAAAAGAAGACCAGCACGACAGCCCAGGCGACTCTCGGAGATGGAGACACGCTGACGTTTCTGTCATCAGTGTCAACTAAGTCCAAACAGCTACCACACTCGGAAGGAACCCACCGCCAGGCACTATCTCGTTGTTAACCTGCAGCTGCCTCGAGGACTTGGACAGTTTGCCCCCCAAACTCTCAACTTTGGTTTCCTAACCTGACAAACGGGCTAAGGACTAAGGACTGCTGTGGAAACTGGATGGAAAAGTGCAGACCCTACAGGGCTGGCTATCATGTCCATCTTGGCCTCCAGGGAACTGTGTTCTGCAATGATGCAAACAGAGGGATCGTGTGTTCGGTTCACACATCCATGCTCTAAAGACGGAGAGAAGACTGATCCCTTCCTACGGCTCTTTGGAACAGTTTACTTTTCCTCTTGTAATGAAATCAGCCAAAAAAAAAATTTTGTGTGCCCAAATGTGATGACCCTGTTTGTATACACACCACGTATTTTTAAAAATAACACCTGAAACTCTGCAAAACATTGGCACAGGCAAAAGACTTCTTGGAAAAGACCCCAGAAGCACAGGCAATAAAATAAACAACTGATAAGGAATTCATATACAGAATCTATAAAGAGCTAAAGGAACCCTACAACAACAAAACAAACAATCCAAAAAAAAAAAAAAATGGGCAAAAGACTTGAACAGGCATTTTTCAAGAGGAAATTCAAATGGCCAGACACATGAAAAAATCCTCAGGATCACTAGCCATCAGGGAAATGCAAATCAGAACTACAATGAGGTCTCACCTCATGCCAATTAGAATGGATCTCATACAGAAACCAAAAAACAATAAATGCCGGTGAGGATGTGGGGAAAAAGGTACCCTAATACATTGTTCATGGGAATGTAAACTAGTAGAACCATATGGGAGACAGTATGGAGATGCATCAGAAATCTGAAAATAGATCTACCATGTGACCCAGCCATCCCACTCTTGGGAATTTATCCAAATGAAAAGAAATCAGCGTAACAAAGAGCTATCTGTACTCCTATGTTTATTGCAGCTCAATTCACAATAGCTAAGATATGAAAGCAACTCAGATGTCCATCAACTGATGACTGGATAAAGAAATTGTGGTGTATATGCACTATGGAATACTATTCCGCTGTTAAAAAAATTGAAATCCTGTCCTTTGCAATAAAATGGATGCAACTGGAAAACATCATACTTAATGAAATAAACCCCAAAAGAGAAATACCATATTTTCCCTGAACTGTGGTAACTAAGAGTACAAAAAATGTAATGTAGGAGTGAAATTGACATTTTGAGAACTGAATATTGTTTACAGTCCTTGTCTCTACTGTTGAAGAACATTTTTTTCTTCTTACTATTTGTTGAATTCTTTACTTAGTGGAGGGTTAAGCTTATGATTATAAAATAAACTGAAAGTTTGTCATTGTAAAAATTAAAAGAAAGAATGAGGAGGAGGGAGGTTGGGAACAGGGGCAGGGGGAAAGGCAGGGTGGGAAATACCACTACGTTCCCAAATCTGTGATAGGAAATACATGAAATGTGTTCACCTTATATAAACAAACACCTGGCATTTCTATGTTGTAGGGTATTTTGAGGATTTTTCTGCATTATTTTAGATGTGACTCACAGAGCATGCCTCTGAGGTTATCAGAACAGGTACCATCAGATTCAACCTTCAGCTGGGAATATGGGGTTCTAAGAGGGGTTCAGGCACGTGCCCAAAGAATTCTTCCTCTCTCTCAAACCTAGACTGTCTCCAAGTCCTAACAAGAAGTCCTAGAATTGTCTAAGCACAATTAATTCACTCTAACAAATTCATCTGTCAGATTCACCGGGACCCTGGACAGCGGCCACCGACACAGTAGTGGTTCTAAGACCACGCGGCTGCCTTCACGCCTGTGAGGCCAGGTTGCAGGCATCATGGTCAGGGGAGTCCTGAGCAGGGTAAAACTGAAGAATCTGAGGCTCAACTTCATGGCCAAGTCACTTAACCCTTAAGCCTAATTTTCTCACCTACAAAATGTGAGGTTTTGTTGCAAAGATAAAAGAGTGGACAGGAACGCAATTGGCAAAGTGAAAAGCAAGACACGAATAAGAAACGAAACACAGAAGGCTCCCACCCGGAGGACAGAAAGAAAGGGACCTGCATCCAGACGGCAGGATAAGGAAATGCATTCTCACTCCATCAGAAATAACTCAATCCAGTTAGCTGCTTCTGACCCAAACAATGCCATGCACGGGGTACACACCTATTTTGGGACAGCCTATTTTTGGGGGGTGCAGATGCCAAGCCCTGGGATATGAAGGGATTTCAAAAAGTTCATGGAAAAAAATGGAATTCAGTGATAACTTCTGGGGCTGGGGCTGTGGTGCAGGTTAGGCCACTGCTTGCAATGCTGGCATCCCACATCAGAGTGCTGGTTCCAGTCTGGCTGCTCCACTTCTGATTCAGCTCCCTGCTAAACCTCCTGGGAAAGCAGCAGAAGATGGTCCAAGTACCTGGAGACCTGCTACCCATGTGCAGGATGGCGTTCTGGGCTCTTGGCTTCAACCTGCCCCAAGTACCAGCCATTGTAACCATTTGGGGAATGAGCCAGGGGATAGAAGATTGGTCTCCTTCTCTGTTACTCTTTCAAATAAATAAATCTTTTTTAAACAATAAAGATTTGTTTATTTGAAAGACAGAGTTACGGAGCTGGGGCTGTGACGCAGAGGGTTAAAGCCCTGGCCTGAAGCGCCGGCATCCCATATGGGTGCCGGTTCTAGTCCTAGCTGCTGCTCTCCCGATCCAGCTCTCTGCTATGCTATGGCCTGTAATAGCAGTAGCAGATGGCCCAAGTCCTTGGGCCCCTGCACCCATGTGGGAGACCCTGGAAGAAGCTCCTGGCTCCAGAACAGCTCAGCTTCAGGAGTGAACCAGCAGATGGAAGACCCCTCTCTCTGTTTCTACCTCTCTCTGTAATTCTTTCAAATAAATAAAATAAATCTTAAAAAAAAAAAAAAAAGAAAAGAAAAAGAGAGAGAGAGGGAGGGAGGGAAGGAGGGAAAAAGGAAGTTAGTAAGTTGTGGGGGAAGAGTCAGCGGGAGATCTTTCCCCCATTGATTGACTCCCCAGATAGCCCTGCACAACTTTTTCGTTATACACACTTTGCATCAACTTCCCCAAGAATCCTCATGGACGGTGAGGGAGGCGCAGGCGGCGCTTGCGTCTGTGAAAATCACGGCTGTGGGGAGGAACGTTCACCCAGACACCCAGACACCCCCTATGGTTCAGCGGACGGTGAGAGCTCACACCTCTGCAGACAACGATGCAGGTGCTGAGTGCGGGCACCAGACATTCCCTGTAACAGCTGACCGGGAACGGCGGCCTGACCCCGCGACAGGCGTGTCATTGCACCCTGTGCGGATTCCTGGAATCGTCTCTCAGGTGCAGGGGCGATTTCACAACCAGCGCACTTTGCCCTCTGCACGTATTATACTCTCATGCACTATCAGCTCCTCACGGCAGACTTATCAGTCTATGGTGGCAATTCAGATCTGTGGTGCATGTGTTCCCGCGAGCTGAGGCTTATTAATTTAGGACTCTTTTCGGGGAAGCCCAAAACTGTACCTTTCAGATTATCATCGCCAGAAACAATTGTCATATGGTTAATGTTGCATAGAACTTCCACACTGTAGGGGGAGGGGGCAGCAAGGCGGGGGAGGTACAGAGTCTTCAAAGAAGATTTGCGCTTAAGAACCTATTTACACAGCAAGGAAAACTATGATTCCCATTATACAGGCAGAAAAATGAATGAGCTAAGCCCACTGTTGGGGCTGGCGCTGTGGCATAGCTGCATTGCTGTGCCACAGCACACCACCTGCAGTGCTGGCATCCTATATGGGTGCTGGTTCGAGTCCCGGCAGCTCCACTTCCTATCCAGCTCTGCTATGGCCTGGGAAAGCAGTGGAGGATGGCCCAGTCCTTGGGCCTCTGCACCCATGAGGGAGACCAGGAAGAGGCTCCCGGCTCCTGGCTTCAGATTGGCGCAGCTCCGGCCACTGTGGCCATTTGGGGAGTGAACCAGCAGGTGGAAGACCTCCTTTTCTCTCCTTTTCTCTTTAACTCTGCCTTTCAAATAAAATAAATAAATCTTTAAAAAAAAAAAAAAAAGACTGTTGGTTGAGTGTCAATCAAGAGTGTATTTTTGGGAGCCATCTCATCCAGGGATCTTCTTCATTTGCACTTGATCATCCCTAAGAGAAGCAATGATGGTAACGGAGTCTGGTACCAGGAAGGCATCTTGGAGTGGTAAGCGCCTGACTTTTCCTAGCCATCTACCAGGACTCTCAGGACACATCGAGGTCGGCACAACCCCCGGCTCCTCGGCTTCTTTGGCCACGATGGGAATGGGTACAAGCATTTGACTCAGCGGTGAGGGTGCCACTGTGGGACCCCAGCCTCCCGCATCAGAGTCGCTGGACTCCGGTCCAGCCCTGCTTCCCTCCCCCCACCTGGCTCCCAGCTGACGCACAGCCTGGGAGGCAGCAGGCGACGGAGCAAGTC